GAGAGAAAGGAAGAGACGAAGAAAAAAAAAAAAAAAAGATGTGTGCAAGCAAGCATGTCGCCACTGTCTGCGAGAGCGAGTGTGTGCGTGTGTCCTGAGAAAAGACTTCTTACGCAGCAAACAAAAAAAAAAAAAAACATTTTAGAAGATGAATATACCTCGTTTAAGACACAGATAAGTGGTCCCTTTCCCAGCCCGTCTTAGTGGCAAATGTTTTTTTATTTTGTCTATGTAGCCAAGTCTTTAATCACCTGGGTTACCCAGCATGCTAGCATGAGCTAGTCATTACATATTTACCTTTCAGTGAGTCCTGAACTGGGCCGGGTGACGACCCATCCAACATGCCCCCGTAAAACAACCCGGCAATACCCTCTTGCGGGACACCGAAGGGGCAAGTCCCAAGCCCCCACGCCCGCTTACCTAGGACTCCGCTGTGCTCGATAGGATATTCCAGCAGAGACGTGGGTGCCAAGGCATAAGGGTAGTCATAGGGCGTGGTGTAGATAATGCCCGCGTCGGGCGTCGGGGGCACCAGGGTAGGGGTGCCATTGGGTAGCACAGTGGCCATCTGAGTGGGCCGAATGATGTTCATGATGGGGGTCCCTGCCGGAGTGGGGGGCCTGAGGGCGGACGGGGGGAGGACCTGACCCGCAGGGGCCGCGATCAGACGCGGGCCTTGAGCAGCTGCTGCCGCTGCTGCAAGAGAGAACGCAAGGGTGGCTGCCATAAACAGAAGAGTGAAAGACAGAAAGAGCAAAAGGGAGAGAACAAGAGACACCAAGAGAGAAGTAATGGGAGAGATAGAGCGATAGGGGAGGTTGGGTGTGTGAATGTGTATAAAGTTTTCAGAGCAGAAGGGGGAAAAACAGAAATGGACAGAAGGCACAAAAACAGATGTGTGAAAAGCACAGGCAGGGAAAGGAAAACAGAAGTACACAAAAAGAGAGAAAAAGGGGGTGGGTGAAAAAATAAAGGAAAATTAGTCCATGCAATGGTCAATGAACCACAAAAAAATTACACTCTAAAGCAAACTAAAACCCCACAACCAAAATCATTACAAAAATTAATCAAAACTAAAACACAAGGAGGAACTGATGATTGATCATACTGGGGGGCAAACCGATCATCAAAACAGAGGCACTAATACACAACACAGAGTCACTGATTTAAAGCAGCACATCTAAACCCAATGTCCTGCGGCATGTAGAGGAAAGAGCACTTCAGTTTGTGTGCTAAAAAATGCTGATGTAATTTCTTATAGTTGTAACTCTGAAGTGCACTTTCTAGAATTGATTCCACAAACTTGCCATAAGCTTTCCCACATGAATCAAAACCTCTACATGCCATTGGGACATTTAGTGCAGATGTGGAGAGGAAATAACCACAACAATGCTGAAAATTAAAACGCTTATAAACATTCTGCACTGAAGGCAAACAGATGTGTTTCTGTCCCTGTCATATATATACCCAAATATGCATGCTCACATTCATAAATCCATACAATCATATATACACAGTCATGCAAATATTACTTTACAGAGCAGTAAAAGCCCAAAACCCTTTGTCAATGTGGAAATGCATTGCAGTAATGAATATGTATGACATGGGTGGAATCGTATGCAAATATCTTTGAGCAATAATACAAGTTCATGACCTAAAGACAACTTAAAACACACAATCATGCAGCAAAACTATTCTGTATGCCACACCACGATTACGCAAGCTGTGATTGCAATTGGAACAGCTTTGAAAGGAGGTGGGAGAGAGAAAGAGGGAGACAGAGAAAAAGAGAGAGCGAGAGACAGGGAGGGATAAAGAGAGACAGAAATACTAGACTGTGGGCAGATGATTAGATGTTTTCATGAGGAGTGTGCAGCAAACAGGATTCTTTCTTGAATCAAAACGAGAATCTTATGTCTGATGAACTCTCATGTGCGCAGTGTTTTTTATTTAATTGCTCATTTATGGTCAGAATAAGTCGGCACAGAAAATAACCTATATATATGTTGCTGTATGTGTACATGTGTGCATTTACATGTGGATTAGGGATGGACACAAGAGATGGATTATGGCCGGTTGTGATTTGATATTGTGTGTGTAAGCCCTGTGCCCTAACAAATATGGGTGTGATTTTGTGTGTGTAAGCATTTAAACAAATCTCTTTAGTCACTGTGCAACACAATCACAGCTGAACTCACATTATTCCCTAATAGTTAGCTTTATGACTGTCTTGTGGGTGTGCTGATGTTCAAGTCTATTTATTCTGGAGTGTGTGTCTATATAAAGTTCCTCAGCGTCTAGCTGTCGATGTGTGAATGTGTCTCCTTACGTGTTTTGATGTTGGTGTCTCTGTATGTTCCATTTAGAATGGCCAGCTCCATAAGCTGCATCTTCTTTAGATTATCTTCTCCTTCCGCCTACAGAAAGAAAAAGACCAATCAAAGGGGAACCCCATGAATCACACAACCAATCACCAATCAGTATTCATGCAGAAAAGGGGGACAATCTGGTTTCAATAAATAGTAAAAAAAAAAAAAAAAGTATAAGATTCATAAAAATCAAATAAAACTAGATAAAAGATATCTTATTTTAAATTAATAAATACACACAAAGTGCTGGAGTAGAACATATGAATAAATATTTACTCTTAGCAGGAACTAGAAGTCTAGTGCTTCTAGACCCAGAGAGACACAGAGAAAGATGCATACTTTCAATTACTAAGAAAGAGTAAACCAAACATGAGATCTCTTAACGCAGAGCAACTAAAACGCAAAAAAAAAAAAAAAAAGCGCAAAGAGATTTGTATTTCCAACTTCAGAGAGGAGGAGAGGGGAGAAAGATAGAGGGAGTAGAAACCAGCTCAATTCAGATTTACACATCAAGCAACAGACACACTGGAGGGCTGGGACACCTTTAACTTTTCATGGTGTTTCAGAGTTTTCTTAGGAGAGTACACATCTAAGGACAAACTACTTTGACAGACACCATATTTGAGTGGTATTGTGAGAGTTTGCCCTTAAGGGACTTTGACTGCAGAAATAACACAGTTCTAGATTAGTACAACTCTACACATCCACATGTCTCAAAGCTGAGAGAAACCTTGAGTGATTTCCTCAATCAGAAAAACTAAAAAAATAAAAACTGCACTGAAGCTACGGATGCCTCCGCATGAATGACTCACCCATTCCTGAGCACTTTAGTAATTCAATACAGACACAAAAAAATTATTTTCTATAAAGCTAAGCTTTTGTTTGAACCCTTCACATCCGAGGAGCTTGTGGAGAGCCAATGAAGATCCATCTATGAGCTTGTTACAATAACACCACTCATTTGAAGACAGAACAAAAGAAAACGGGCTCAGGCTAATCGAATGCAGTGTGGAGAGACGATAACACTCTTCATTTGTCCACTTAACTTCTTCCAAGCCTGACAGGTGAAAAACAGTCTTCAGTGGTGTCCTTCACAGGTTTCATCCGGAATAAGTCTTGCGAATTTTCTGAGACCAACTCGCCAGCCCCCCCGATACACAGTGAAACTGAACAAAGTTTCCAATGACCGAGCAGAGAATCCTTCCTCTGCCTTTCAAATTATGTCTATTCGCTCTTATTCTGGCCAGCCGATCTCAGTTTTGGCATAGCCACTCTAATACTGTCTGAAGTGACAAGGAGTTGACCACTTGACAAGGGCAAAGATCTGCTCAAGGGTTTCCTGCTCAAGCATTTCACTGGCCACTTCGATATGTTAAGCTCCAAAAAAGGTGAGTGATTCACGAAATAGTCTGTGAAGGTGGAAATGTGTCATTCACTTACCCTCGTCATTTTAGAATCGTATGACTGACTTGACACATAAAACGTAAGATAATAGGAGATATCTTTCCCATTTCTACTCTTTTCCATTTAATGTAAACGGGGGCTGTCAAGCCCAAAAAGCACAAAAAACACCTAAAGGTCACCATGAAATCAAAACTAATATTTCATGTACATAAAAACCTACACACAAACACATACATATATATATATGTGTGTACATATACATATATATATATATATATATATATATATATATATATATATATACACAGAAAAGAAAAGTGATTAAAAGAAAGTCATATGCACCAAGTACAAAGTGACTGAACTGATTCATATCTGAGAGCTTTAGAAAAGTTACTTTTTAGATGGAGTTAAGCTTTATTTTTAGTTACTACATTTGATTAGAAACCGAAAAAGAAAAGGAAATGCCAAAGAGAACGTAATCACCACATCCATCGTTATATAAACCATTATAATGGAAAAAACAAAACCATTATCCATAATAACTCATAGCAAAAACAAAAGCATCAACTCCTTGTATTAGAGCAGATTCAAACAGAGGGTTAGTGCTTGGAAGGAAATCCAGGTCTGGGGCAGTCGGGCCTATTGATTCCTGTAAGAGGGGTGAGGCAGAGGATAAACGACTCTAAAAATCCCCAAAACACCATAAACTATCACACTCATTTCTGCTGAGCAGGACTTTGTGTGGTTGGCACAGCTCTAAATCCAAATAACAACATCTCAGTGCTGGCCATGAAAGCAGATGGAGTCGATTTTCTCTCGCCCCACAAACAAAGACTTTGTTTCTGGCTTATTCTGCAGGGTATTTAATGAGGACAGACTTCCTTTGAGGGCCGACGACGCTGCTCCTCAGAGTCACCGTATAGACTGGACATTTCTGTTTGAGGTCAGGCCAAATTTTTTTTCTTCTTTCATTTTTATAACACCCTCTTTCTTTGCTTCTTCCTCCTGAGCTACAGGCATTCTCAGGATGTTTGTAAAAAATGTAGAGATTATTCCTAGGCGAGAGAGGGAGGAAGGAAATAAAGGAAGTGCAGCGTTTCCAGAGAGCTGTGTGTCATCAGACGGGGGGAGGCTCAGGGGAGCCGTCCCTCTGATTTAAGCAACAAAAGCTGACACAGAGAGAACGTTTCCACACACACTCTGGGTGTGAGACATCAGGGAAGGCTGCTCAATAATCCTGCTCTATCCGCAGGAATCAGATTCAATCAATGGGGTCTATTTGTAAGGGCAGCGGAGTGAAGCAGCTCTCATTGGCCGTGGGGGAGGACAGGGGATGCTAGACTGTGACAGCAGCGCTTGTGAGCACATCAATTTTGTTACACGCACAGAAGTACAGCATTTCCTCTCCATAATAAAACGTTTACAGCCATTTCCAAATCCAATTCCTTTTCAGTGCAGATCTGTGGGATGGCTGGTGTCCACCAGCATGTGCTTATTTCCAGCAGAGAAACTTGCATGCTCTTAACTTTTATAAAGAATATCTCTTTGGATTTGAGACTTTAGTCTTTGCAACTTTACAGATCTTCTTTATGCACCAAGAGCTTGTAACACTCCAAAGAGAAAGGAAAAAATGAAATCGCATCATATGACCCCTTTAACTCAAGACATTGGAGAGATATATTACACACAGAGCCAGGTAAGGTTTTTTTTGTTTTTTTTTAACAAGATTTTATATCCAAGTTAAAATTTTAAGAATGTTGAGACAGGAAAAGAAGAGAGAAAGTTTTATTTGACATTATACATTTTCAAGACTTAATACGGTTAACTTTGTCACTTCCTGCTCTTCCCAAGTTCCCTTAACCACATAAACATCCTTCACCCTCGCTACCAAACCACCCACAATCTACATGATTCAGAACTCTGACGGCATTGTTACAGCTTTAGCATGAACTTCAGCAGTCACCCAGCCAACGAAGAGAGATTACGGCACATGACAAGCAGTTACACCACCCTTCTCCTGTCAGCTGCGTAGAGGTAAAGCCCTGTAAACGCTCCGACAGCTGGCTTGAGTAGAACTAAACCTAAGCTTGAGAAATTTTCGGAGTAAAATTCCCTATCATTTCTTTCATTCAGGTAGTTGATGGAACAGAGGGTTTATTTTTAGGTGTGAAGCACATATATGTCTCTGGTTTGTGATAGTAATTCAATGGACTTCAGTGGGAACCTTCACTGAAAAGTAGCCTGCAAGTAGAGCCATCAATATCCTCAATGTATCATCAGCGACTAGGGATGCAACAATACCATTTTTTCAGAACCGATCCGATCCCAAAAGTATCGGCCAATTCCGATCAGAGCACTTTTTAAAAATTTTTTATAAATCATGTAGAATTTATATACTTCTGTGTGTTGATGTGATCATCACTCTTGTGTGTGTTAAACACTCCGCTAAATATAGACAACTTCATTTTACTGAAAAATAAATGAAAAATATAATTATAATCTATGAGAAAAAATACTATTATAAACTAGGTTAGTGGATAATTCAGCAGCAAAAGTTATTCTAGAAAACTCATGGGTGCACAATAATTTTATAAAATCATTAAACTAAACATTTAGTAAAACAACATTATTTAGTGGGAAACAAATAAAAGTTAATAAGTGTAGGACTAAATCTGGTAAAATGTTACACATTGCTCTTTGTATTGTTGTAAAATACATTCATGAAAAACAAGAAGCCTAAATATATATATAAAATATATACTATAAAATGAAAAGACATTTCTTTTAAATGCATAGCACAGTAATGAAGGCAGCAACATATGATAGATAGAACAAAAACAAAAAAGACTATTAATAATCTTTCATTGCACAAAAGTATGATACGAAAGGGTATGGCTCCAATACAGACCGGCACAAAGCGCTTATGCGCATCCCGTGCGCAGAATGATGCGCTTGAAGCAACACGGAGTCACAGCGCACAGCGCTCCGCATAAAAAAGGGAAGAGATATCGATGCGTAGTGTATTATATCTGTGCAATATTTTATTGAGCCTTTTCTTTTAACAGTTTTAAATCTTACAAAGTTATTGTACACTATTGAAGAGAGCTTCATCGTTTTGTCTGTAGTAACCGAACGCGACACGCAGTTTGAATGCTGAATGGAGGATGACAGAAAAACGCAGCGGAGAGAAGAGTTTACGTGAACTTGACTTAAATATTCATCTGTACTTCACATAAACTATGGAACGGCTTCAGAACACTTAAAATATAGTGATAGATATAGGTATAGATACCCGATCCGGCAGAAAATCCCAGCATCGGCGCAGATACCGATACCGAGTATCGGATCGATGCATCCCTATCAGCGACATGAAATAAAATTAAAATACTGTAATGCATCTGTTATTCAGTAATCAATAATACCTTATTTGAAAATTATCACACCTCAAAAAGGTCATGAACACGGATTCACATATAGTAATGGATGGTGTTTAAAATGAGGGGATAAAACACATCTATAGCAAGTATTCTCACAGTATTCCTAATTTCAATACATCCAGCAGTTACGTCTCTGGGCTGAAAATGCAAAAGGTAGCAGGTTTGATCTTGGAGCAGTTTTCCCCTAAGGTAAGACTAGGGATGGGT